GGCAGGGGGGAGCCTCAGCTGTGGCGTGGGGGGCGTTTTCTCCTTGTGTGCGTGCCTGCGGCGGGGGGAAGGGGCTCTGAGGGGGGGGGTTGGCTGCACGGGGTGGGAGACCGCATGGGAAATGTGCTCCTTCACTTAAACAAGGATGAAGCCAGCACTGCACGGTCTGGTTTTTACCCAAGTGACAAGTGCTTATGGCATCGTAGCTGCCCCTCAGTGTCTCCTTCACCATAAACGTAAGCGGATAGGCCAATTTGAGAATCACCCTCTAATTTGGCTTCTGCAGGACTCTGTCTTCTGCACCCTGGCTTGCTGCTCTTTATTTCAATTTTTTGGGTTTTCCTTCATTGTTGGAAGATAGCTAGTGAATTCACCCGTTCCAGCAGCACTTTTTCTTCTGAGAAGGCTCAGAGGCCATCACTCACTTTCTTTGCTATGAAGCAGAAGAAACTTCCCTAATTTTTAGGGAGTTTCTCCTGGAAGAAGTGTCCTGCCCTTTATATTCAGATAGCCAAAGAAACCAGACTTCAGGAGCTGTAGTGTTACTATTTTTAAGAAAATAAAAGAAAAGAGTTGGGGGGTGGGTATAAGTAAGAAAATACTGTTATTAAAATGAAGTGCCTCCCACTTATGCAGAATAAATGGTACACGTCACTTGATTATACGCTTGACCAGTGACATTTGTGATTACATCTGCTGGGTCCAAATCTATTTAGGTATCTGTACCATGTATCTAAGTGGGTGGAGTCTTCTACCAAAGTCATATAGGTCTGGGGTGACAGTCCCAAGTGACAGCATTGTGCTGTTAGTTACATGGTGGGTGATGCCTTTTCTCCTCAGTCAACACTATATCTGCCCCCAGCACGGAGTTAGGAAGGTAAAACGCGTCTGAAATCACCTTTATGTGTAAGGCAGATATTTCATACAAGCCCAGCAGTGGCTGGATGAGTAAAAGGTGTTAATCCACATACAGTAATGCGAAAAAAACCCCAAACCAGAGCACAAAATCTATATTAGGACAATCCCTAAGAAATGCTGAGCACCTTCTGCTATGAAAGGCCTCAAAGGGAGCAGCAGATGCCCGGCATTTCTGCCCCTGTGGCAGGATGATGGCGCGTCCCACTGCCATTTGCCATGGCAGGACCTACCTCTGACGAGGAGCTGAGTGTGCTGTTCTAGCGTGTCGGTGCTGTTGTGCTGGTTCTGGGCTCTGCACTTGTAGAGGCCACTCTGTTCCTTCGTGACGTTAGGAATGACCAGCGTCAAAGAAATGGAATAGTTGTCAGTTTTCTTGATCACTGAGTCCCTGAGAGCCTCCTCTGAGGAGGGGTAGTACCAGGCCAGGTGGCTGTAGATGTACTTGGAGGCCCGGCAGGTCAGCTGGACGTCGTTCCCCACAATGGTGGTGACTTGTGGGTCTGTTTGCAACCCGAATGGCACATCTAGGAGGAAGAGAAACCATGTTTACAATGAAGTCATGACTGAGAAGGTCTTTGGCTGCCTGGTTGCAACCTGACGGTCGAATTTCAAAGACCAGTCGCAGTGGAATGAGACAATTTTAATGAGACCCCCATTCGCGTGTGCGAACAGGCACTGGTGCGTGGGAATTAGGCGAGTAGAAAGTACCTCTCACGTCCCAGCACTGACCTGTGGTAGTCTGGCCCTCAGCGTTCTAATCATTCCACTTTCAAGCAATGAATTGAAAGTTTATAAATAGAAGTAGTTAATGGACTAAGAGAGTTTAATCAGGAGAGATTTCTATCGACGTAGACAAATGTGTTCATGAGCTCTTTGTATCTGCAATCAGTGCTTGAAAGTATAATTGCATAAGAATAGAGAGACCTATTCCCATTTTTCAGAAGTAACACTTTCTTCACCGCTGAACAATCTTCCCGATTCTTTCTTATTTCAACTATGCCAATATTTATTTTCATCACATGTGCCTTGGTGGATATTTACTTGACCACTGAATGGATTAACTGATCTAATGATGTATGAGTCCTTGAGGCCTTTATATTTAGCAGAGAAATGTTTTGAGGCGTGAGTCCAATCTATCCACAGAAGAGTAAGTTGTTTCTTGCTATATTTTTAGTAACTTTTCACTCCAGAAAAAAAATCAATTTTCCTGAAGTGGTGAACTGAATCCATTTGAAGACAAGAAAAAATGTTTCTGAGTAGAATGCCAGAGTCTGGTCTACAGACACATTCCTATTAGTGCATTAGCCGCCAGAGACCTGCAATTAAATTGTGTCTCAAAGATATTCTTTTCCCTTTTATTCTGTTAGTTTCAGTGGTCTATCCACCCAGCAGACTTGAATGAAAGCGCGTTGATAACCACACTGACCTGGAATTATTCTTCGGTCTCTTAGGTCAGGATTTTCAAGCAGCTGAGAGTTATGAGAGACCCCTTAAAAATGTTACCAGGCATAGTACGGGAGTGAGACACTTTGGAAGGACTTGCTCTGGATTGCTTTCTGCACATGAATGCTGTTTGCAATAAATCTGATAGATTATTGCTTCAATACCAAGCTGTTAGTAAGGTGCTTTCTCAAGGTAGGATGGACTGGATGGTCCTTTGAGAGGGACAGAAGTTAAAGGGGAGCAAATATGCATTGCGCTTGCAGTCTGACAAATTCCACACTGCAAACTCTTGCAAAAAGTTCTGCTGAAGCTATAGCTGAGCATAAATAGCGAGGCTGTTGAAATAACCAATCTGCCTTATAATAAACGATATAGTATATAAAATACAGAGCCCTGAAGGAACTTTCAGATATGATTAAAAGTCTCTCTTCTTCACAAGTCATCTGGAATAGAACCAATAACCTTTGCTTCATGGTTTTTAAAGACTGGCACCAGAAATGTTTTACAAAAGATCCAAAAAGAGAAGAGACCCCTCAGGCCACAGCTGGGGAAATTGTTATTTTTCTTTTCTTTCCTTTTCATGAAATTTCAGTTTACTTTATGCAGTGTTTTGTTAGGCTCAGGCGCTCTCTTTCTTGCTTAGTGCTAGCTGTACGCTCAAACTGACTTGTGTAATGTATCTGTTCTTCCCATCTGATGTCCTGTGGTTCCAACATGTCAAGATGATGCCTATCAAAAAGGGGGAAAAGTCTGAGGCCAGCAGAACTTCTCTAAACAGGAAGAATTAAGGTCCAGTGAAAACACTGGGATGTGGCATGAGCAGCACCTCTCCTGAATCTGTCAAACCAAGACAGGGAAAAAGTACCCTCTTTACTTGCCTTTTTCTTTGTTTCTCTTCTAAGCATTTGCTATTTGCTCCACCAAGAGTTATAGTACCAAGCTAGATGGATCTTTGATGAGACTCACTTCTTGGGGAGCTCAGTGGTCTGGGAGATCTCCCGAGATCCCCTCTCCCTGAATTATCCTATGATCTTAAGTGCTGGGTCTCAGCGGAAGCATAAAGGGATTCCAGGTAAAGTGTTAAGGTGGGAATTTGGTCACATCACCCGGGGTAAAACACAGTGAGCCCCTGCAAATCTGCAGGGCAAGTTAAACCTTGGCCTTCAGCGGTTAGGTTGGCAGCCCCGTTTGCCCTGGCTTCTGCCTCTCAGGAGGCCTTTTCTTCAGGAGAATTTCTTCTTACAACTTGCAGCCCCGTTTGTTTTGCAGAGTGAGTTTCCCTGAGCGGCAGCGGGAGAAAGCCCACCCCAGGGGGGTGGGATAAGGCACTGGCTTGTGTATGGCAGTGACAGCGTGGGCTGGAGCGCCCAGACATCTCTGACATTTTGGTGCAAATTCCCAATTAATTTGATGTGTTAATTTCCAAGATGTGAATTGTAAAGGATGCTCAATAGTTTCACCTTGCTGCTGGACTTCCCCAGTGCAGGTTTTTTTCTACCAACTTAATATTCTGGGAGCAGAGGGCTGGCTTGTTTTTCTTATCATTTCTTCTACTGGCATTTTTTATTTAGCATTTTGAATATTTTTAGCTGGAACCTGTGCTATTCTCTTCCATCTTGTTAGCCCTTCAAGAAGCTCCTTCAGCTCCAATAGAATATTCATTGATTTTCATTACAGTGGAAAGAAAAGAGAGAAAAAAAAGTCTCTCTCGCTCTCCTCTCTCTTTTCTCCTCCTACCTGGATTATCTGGGGAGTAACTGCAGCTTTGAGAGCACATTATAAGTCAGTTCATCTCTTAGACTACTTTGCTTACACAATCTTGAACCTGAGCAGTGATTAACTTCCTCTCTCTGAACAGATACAGTGTTTTATAAGACTCCTAATAAGTTGGCTAAAAGAATGCACCATGGGGCCTTTTCTCTTTTATCAGCAGTCACCAAACATTTGTCTTTTGTATTGTATTACAGTGTAGTAGCCGCGAATTTCACTCTCGACTGTGCGGGATTCCATGGCAAAATAGGGAAACGAGCCATTGGGGGAAGGTAAAAAGTCAGCATAAATCAAAAGAAAGTCTGGCTCCATTTGTATTTACAAGGAATTAATTGGTTTTAATTTCCTGTGCTTTGCAAAATAATCTGCGTAATTCAAAACTTCTGCTCTTTCCCAAATTCCATCCCTGTGCCTGTCAGGGTGGGGGGGTTGCCATCAGGCATACGCATGTGGGGAGAGTGAGAAAAAGAAAGGGTGAGCCCTACCATCTGAAACAGCGCAGAGCTTTTAATAAGTCCTGTAAACATATCAGGAATAAGCAAATTGAGAGTGGCAAGCAGTCGTAGAACGGCCCTGTTCATACATTGTTCCAGTATCTGACAGCAGATTTTTGTCTCATATTTGAAATATAATATTTTCTTTCTGGTAGAAATCTTTAACTCCATTTTTTGGAGTTGTTTTTGCAATCAGATAAGCCCTTGAAAAAGAGCTTTTGTTATTATTTGTTATTCTTATAATAATTCATTTATATTCCAAGAACATTCAGAGGTTTCATATGGGTGGGATCCCGTTTTGTTGTACGTAGTACAATCATACAAAGGCTAGAATTTGATTTAGTGTGGACCTGCAGTAATATATGGTTGCCCTTTCAAGGTGCAGACCAGAGATTAGACGGTAAATAATACTTGCTCGTGGCAGAGGATACCTCCAGGAGCCATCAGGACAGCTTTTCACTGCACTAGGAAGGTTGCGGTCTGCTTGGAGTGTCCTTTGGTGCACAACCAGTGGTGGGCAATGACACGGGGCAGTTGCGAGCGGCTGATGGCTCGCCACATTGCCTCTGCCCATGACAGAAGAGTCATCTGGCTTAAATGGGAACACTGGTGTCAAAACTGTGGTAGGCAAGATAAGCTGGAGACAGATTTTGTTTCAGCAAGAAACAGTAAAAAGGATTTACACTAAACAAAAATACTGGAGTAGGAGTTAGGCCAGGGCAATGGATAACACTGCTACTGCATTGCTGCGGGAGTTTCTGCTGCCGTGAACAGCTTTAGGAGAGCTTCAGTGGGACATTGACAGGACATCTGCGGAGAGAGCTCAGAGAGGCTTCAGAGCTGGCAGTGAATGATACGGTTTCTCATCTCATTGGACCCCTTATATGGTTTGGTTCCAGCATGATCTCGAAACCCTGCTGACCCTTCACTGAAATGAATTCTGCTGGCAAAGAAATTATTTAAAAATAGATACCAGTGCTATTTCTAGTGTCCGTGGGAGTTTGTGTGGGGGCTCTGCAGTGGAAGAACAAAATGGCTGTTGACATTATTCCATTGGGATAAATACATTTTTCTGAAATGAATGTGGTGGTGATGAAAGCACCGGACTGAAGTGAGGCACGTCCCCCAAAAGGAGGTGCAGCCCGGACAGCACCTGATGAAATTTCCCTGTGACACTCTGCCATGGCCTGACAAAACATTTCCCCCCTGACCTGGCGAAACAGGTTTTTGAAGGAAGAAGAGAGTTTAGCCTCTGTAGCATCTTCACACTTCTTAACAGGGAGAAGTTCATTAAGCTTAGTTCAGCCAAAATGTTTGAAAGCAGCTCAGGATCCACCAGCTTGTTTATCAGTAGGAGATAATGGGAAATCAAGTCTTTAAAATCAACACATTGCTGAATTAATTGTGGAGTCCCACAACTAGCAGCTGCTTTGCAGAGAACAGAGCACTGTGAAGTGCTACGAACATTTGCTAGATGTGCCCGATGGCCCACACGTCGCTTCTGTACTCTCAGACTCTAACTCAGCCTTTATCTCAGCTTGTAGGTTCAAGCTGCATGAATCGAGTCAGGCTAGCAATTGTCAAGTGGCCTGCTTAGAGCCTTGTGCTTTTGGACTTCCCCAGGTTGGTACCTCACAAACTGTCCCCGAATGTCCCTCCAACACGGAGACTCCGGGTGACAGTAACCTGGCAGTCGCTGAGCCTCCTCCAAGTGCACCCCGTAGAAGACAGTGGCTTTTTCCCTCTGTGAGGCGGACCTTCCGCAGCAGCTCTTGCAGCAGCCTGGCCACTTGTTGGAGTAATACCCATTACTCAGCAGAGGACCATCATGTACAGAAACCCAGCAGCAGGTCACTCTGCTGCTGTTTTACCACTGCAACATGACCTACTTTAGGATCAGGATGGCCACATTTAGAAAGATTTCATTTCTTTCTAATCCATAAACACCACTGTTTATAAACGCAGTGCTTATAAAAGTCAGTCATGCTCGTTCAGCATCTGCCTCTTCCCTGGAAAGGCACAGACTCACAGTCTTTTCTTCCCAGGCAAGTATATATCTGTCTTGCCAAGCCCTCTTCACCTCCTGGTCTGTTTGGGGGGAAACATTTCCACCACAACCACCGTCAGTAATTTTGTCCAGTGATCCATTTCCTTCATAATTAAAATTGCATGATTAAAATATTTGTGTCTCCAAACATTGCTAGATTGATCTTAAAATAAAAAATCTGAAATAGTAGCTCACTGTGGGGGAAAAAAAAACCCTACATAACTTTATTATTAAAATAAAATGTAGTTGTGAAAGGTGCGTGGATTGATCTAACCCTTTGAATCTGACCTTATGCTGGTTGCTTATTTAGTTGCTGCAGCGCTGGTTTTAGTCACCAAGTATTACGAAGTCCTGTGAATAGCTCGGGAATGGACGGCTCTGAGTAACCCATCCAAACATAACAGCTGGCAGATTTCAGAGCAGAAACAAACCCACGTGAAGACGCAATGCTTGGAAGTGGTGAAGTGTAAAATTAATAGCTGGTCTTCAGCCTGCCTTGGACATAGAATCACAGAATGGTTAGAGTTGGAAGGGACCTTAAAGATCACCTAGTTCCAACCCACCTGCCATGGGAAGGGACACCTCCCACTAGACCAGGTTGCTCAAACATCTTGAGGACCTCTTATGTCTGAGCTGTATCTCCCAAAATTGCACCTTGAAGGGCTTTTTCCGAAGTAAATAAGAGTTAGGGCTTTGGAAAATGTCTTTTAGAGGCTTAAACCCTCTTCTGCCTCCTAAGGCTTTGGGGTAGTACAAAGAAGCTGTAAACGGAGGCAAAAATCTTTCCCCCATATGGCACCAGCTTCATTATCGTTGGATAACATCTTTTGTATTAGCACTTCTGTGTAATACGAATGGTAACAATGTTTGGGGAGCCCTTTTTTGGTTAGCCCGATTTGAAATGTGCGCAGTTAATTTAGAGCAATGGAGTCAAACAACACAGGACACAGGAGGGGCAGAGGAGTGCAGAGCCCTGCCACGAGCGAGCTTTGCCCTCAGCACTTTCTTCATAGGGAAGAAGCCAAGTAGTGAGAATCAGACATTTACCTTCCAGGACACTTCTGCACTCTTTGTTCTAAAAATTGTTTTTTTGATGCAAATTCTACCAGCCAACATCCACTCATCCAGAAAGTGAGCACAGAAATGATTCAGTTTGTTCTGGTTAAGCACTTGAACAAGGCTGTCCCTGGACTCTTCTCTTTTTTTAAACTCCCATCTCTCCTAAAAGCATTATGTAGGTCTTGATCTCACTACTAAAGAATTTCTGTGTTGAAAGGTTAAGCAGATATTTGTTTGGATTTGTGTTCTTTGGAGAAATAGCTTGTCCACCTCCTCCCTCCTTAAAGGGCACTGGAAAGGCTAATTGCTCAGGCAGGGATCCAATGTCACAACAACTCCCAGTGATACCAGCCCTGGATTAGGTCTGAATATTGGCCTTGCTCACCTTTGCTATGTCTGCTGACTTAATTGGAGACCAACCCTTCTCCTGAGTCAGGGAGAGGCTTCAGGCCTTTGGAAGACTACAAAGAACGGAGCTTTTGCTGGAGGTTTCATGAGGACAGCACTCAAATGTCATGGGTGTTGCTTAAAGACACAGGCAGCCAGACTGAGCGCCTGCATCCGCAGCCCGAAAAGGGCAAAGGGGGCATCGGGTCTGATGCTGGACATGTCAAACTCAGCTGGGCACTGACGCAGGACCCAGCCTTCCATGTGGTGAAGAGCCTGGGACTGTGTGATGGGGAGTGCTCTGAAAACACAACACGCAGGGATTCCCAGAAGTTCTAACGAGCACTCACCAGCCATGTAAAACTTTAAGGTAAATCAGATCATCAGCATCTGGTTCTTGTGTAGTTTACCTGAGACGTAGAACTCAATGCTCCTCTCTTCTTCGCCGATCTTGTTTGAAGCCACACAGTAATAGATTCCTGATGCACTGCTGTTTTCCATAGTTAGTGTGCTCACAATCTGCCAAGCAAAGAGAGAAAAAGTAAAGGCTTTGCGTGAAGTGTGGGCTCAGCAGAGAGGCTTGAGAGTAGTGGTTAAGTATATGTTTTATGGTAGAAAAACAGTTGACAGAGGACTTTCTAGTAATGAGTAAGCTCACAAACAGACAAATGCTTCTATTAGGTTTTTGGTCTGTCATCTCACATCACCTCAGCCCAGTTAATTCTCTTCCCTCCTCATTCCTAAATATTCCCCTTCTTTTCTTCCTGCCTCCCCCGTGAAAAACAGGGCTCCCCTTTGACACACTGCCAAGGGAAGGACCTGAAAGATTCATCTAAGACCCTGGAAAGGAAGCCCCACATCCATCTATTTTCTTTCCTGCTTTTCAGTTATAGTTTCTGTGGGTAACAGGACACCCACATTTGCGTGGGAAGCAGGTGATTTGTTTGGATGTGGTATAAAGAATATTGCAGGATTTTGCTTTGCTATAACCCCAGAGAAGGGAGGGAGGGATGTGGCCCCTGTGGGCCCCAGCTCACTCTTATAAATTGTGCTTGGAAGTCCCTTGATTCCATAACCCTTTCTCAGAGCCTTACCAGGACTTGTGCGGTAAGGAAGGAAGCTCTGGAGAAGCTGCCTGCGGTAAGACACTTCGCAAATGCAGAAAGAAAGGGAGGATGATGGAGGAGAAGGAAGGAACACTTGTCCTGAGATTCCCCACGTAGAAAAAGGAAGCGGTTCA